TACACGCATACATATGGTTTCTTGCTATATTTCTAATGGTAGAGGGTTGTCTGACCTTTATAAATTGGTACGCCCTCCCCAGGGAACCGACGCTGTATTTCAATTAATGTTGATAATATTTACTACACCTATCAAGGTTGGTCTCCAACCAAGCGGATCATTAAAAAAGTAAAAGACCTACATACACAGCCCAACTATATAGCCTACTATTTCTGAATGGAGTTGTTGTAGTCGACTCTTGTTAATTGTAACATATTCGTATATATGTATGTATGTTTACATATGTATCATATAAACAAATAGATAAATAAAAATAACAGTGCTCAAATAGGAACGAACATCATGTAATAATTGTATCAACGATTGTATTACTACTTGATAGTAAGCGAACAGTCACTTAATTCATCGTGGGGGCTCGGGGCTCGGGTTCCAGTTACGCGCTGCTCAGTCAGTAGGCTTAATGTGCAACCATAAATGAAAACTACAAAATCCTTTCTATGTTAACACAACTATAGTATTTATTAAATAAAGGGGGATTACAATGGGGGATTTAAACGGGAACTTAAACTAACCTAACAACTACTCACGTGAGAACAACTCGAAGATAAAACACAATAGGCATAGTTCATTCAGCAACTGTCCAATAATATTAATGGTGTTCGAATGATATGCAAACCATAACGAAGGAACAGCGACGTATTTTAGCGAAAAAGTCCAAAACAAAGTTATGAAATATAGAAGCGAATCCAACTTGAGCAGGAATGGCAAATGGCGATTCAATTAAATCATCAGTCAAGAAATCAAAACGTTATCCGAGGTAACACCATCAACCATCCCATGTCGATCAGACATGGGCCTGGGTATTCCTCCAGCATAAATCTCGAAACTTGTAACAAAAATTATAATACTCCAGCTACTAAACTTTAGATTGGGAACAGCAGCCTACCCGATCTCCATTTAGAGTCAGTTCGATCAGAGCTGAACGGTGTAGACTCTGCCCCATCTGTAGCATTATGTTGGTACAGTACTGTACTCTGATGGAATAGCCAAATGGCCAGAGCCACGGCCCTCGGGCTGAGATACCGCTTTCCTCTCGCTGGACTAGATTTCTTTCTCCACTGCTCCTCTCTATCAAACTGTTCAGTGTTTTAAAGGAGGACATCACGACTCCTTGTTCGCGTCTTAACGTATTTCATTGGTTTATTATTTTTATTAATCATGAGAAAATTTAATTCTTATTGGTTCCTAGTATTGGTTAACACCCCTAGGAGCCCAATCACACTTGAAAGTTACGTCGGCCATGGGCCGCCTCAGGGCCGGCTCATTGAGTGTGAACAATCCATAAATGTTAAGCCGGCCCTGAGCCGACCTAAAAGTTAATCCGACTTTTGAGTCGGCTCAGGTCCCGCAATGCGGGCCCAGGGCCGACCCATCTTTATATCTAAACGTAAGCCGAACCTCAGCCGGCCCAAGTTTGCTCTGATTGCTCGATTTTGACATCTTATCTAACCACAACATTTATTCGAACTGACTTGCGCGAAAAAACACCATTGAGAAATAAAATTGTTATGGAAACTGTAAAGTAATTTGTATTTAGTTGAACAATTGTTTTTGAATAAAAGTTTTTATATAAGGTCTCCATATGCCTAACTAATTATTACTCACAGCCTCCGTGCGAAGCATAAGCATCACCACAAACCAAGTTGTAGGCATGGGGAATACCACGTGATACAAAGCTTACGCATGGGCAGTTTGACAGATGACGACTTTCTTTTCTACGGTTAAAGAATTCCAGTAGATAAAAAATATATTGGCCTATTACAAGCTCAAGAAAACCCCGTTTTTGTATAGCACACATTAATTTAACAAGTTTATATTCTAAAATTATAACACTGTATAGCAGTATCATTTTATCTGCGAACGTCATCCTCACCAACCACGTGCGTTTTGTGTCCGTGAAGCTACTCACGTGACCCCGAGGACAGAAAAAAAAACATAATCGTCTGTTTTTGTTATGAGCGAAGCTGGTTCTAAAAAGCGTCAAAAATTGTTTGTGAATGAACCTAATATGAAAATAATTATTATTGCCAAATAGATAGATCTCGATGCTACTTATTCACAATCAGTGTCTCCGGTCTGTGGCCAAACATTGACAGCAATATAGGCCTATATAGAAGTTTACAATATACAGGTATGAACTTTCGAAATCGCGAGTCTGGCTTTGCAGAGAGTAAAATCGAGCTGCGCTAATTATAGGCCTTGGTTATTATAAGAATTATCGTCGCCATAATCATGAAGCAGAATGCTATCCGCTTAAAAAATCGAAAAAGTATAAGGACAATTGAAATTAGGTTCATGTTTCGCGCAAATTCCATGTGTTTATAATAATAATAATAATAATAATAATAATTATGCTAGGTTGTGATTTACCGTTCAACTTCCTGTCCTGCAATTCATCGACCCGGCCCAAAAGAAGAAGTGTGAACGTCCGTAAGGCGGCCCTGGGCCGACTAAAACCACTTAAAACAATAACTGTGAACGGAAATGAAGTTGAGTCGGCCGTACAATCAAGTTTAAGTGGACATGACACAGGAATGTACAATACTCTGACTAAATCCAGGGGGAACAACCTACCAAGAATAGTAGTACTGTTGACTATAGAAAATGGAATGCAACAACTCAGGTTAATACCTATCCTGTAACTGTATTACTTTAATCTAAAGGGAAATTTAAAAGAATAGCAAAATAAATTAATTAAATAATAAGATTCAAAGGCTTAATAAACACAAAAAATACACACTACTACATATATATATATATATATATATATATATATATATACATACTGTGTATATAATATATATATATATATATATATATAAATTGTTACAATACTGTTAATCCTATTTCTTCATTCTTAATCATTTTATTCAAATGTAACCGAACTGGATGACGTTAATCGGCTTGACATATAGGTCTAGAGCGACCGAAACACAAGTATCCAGTTTTAACACATGGTTCAACAAAAAAATATACAAAAAAAAACAACTTAGGCCAAGTCTGAATACTTATATCAGATTACATTTTAAAGAGTTTAGTGATGTGTGCTGAAAAACCTGGGCATAAAACGATTAACCATTTTTGTTTCGTTTGCCACTATTATAATGAATAAGTGGAGT